TGCCATTTATCTTGATTAAAAAATTGTGATTCTTTAAGTAAGGTTTCCACTTATACATATAAAAATAAAATCGATGCCAAGCGAAAGCTCTTTGATACTTTTTTATCGTTTTGATACGTTTTTCTTGTAGGGTTGCCGCCTATCCAGAAATGAATAGTTTTTGAATATGTTTGCTTCCTATGGAAAAATTATAACTAGAGCAAAATTGATGTAGAAAAAAAAGTAGCTTGAGAATGCTCTCATCCGTGAAGATTTATGATAGGGTGGCCAGACATAAAATAAGTAAGTAGCGCGTAAAATATTCCCTCATGAATATCGTACGAAATGTACTTAGTAATGCTCTAAACAGGACATAAAAATATTTTAAATAATTTTGAACAAATATAAAAATAAGAAAATGTGAAAAAATTTTAATTAAAAATGTTTAAAATAAATAAAATAAAAGGTTGGAAAAAAGCAAACATTGTTGAAAAAAGCTTATATTAAACAAAGTATAGAGTTACCGCCTGTCTAAATACCAATTTAGGTAATAAAGCTTGCAACCTATTTTAGAAAACTATTTTTAGATCACAAACCAAAAATTCGTACTAAAAAAAATAAAGCTGAAAATTTTATAATAGGTTCACCATATGGTTAACTAATAAAATTTATTAAAACAATTAAATCTGTCTAATACTCAAGCAAAGGTTTACGCGTTGGCACCTTTTTAACATTTATAACTTAAAATTAAGTTTAAATAGGGTGGCCACCATTCTAAAACCAAACTTAGTTAAAGAAAAACCAATTGTTTGAATATTTTCGTGGAAATATTTAATCGAAAAAATTATGTTAGATCTGTTTTTGGAAGTAGTTTTTGATAGAGTTGCCGTTAATTTTTTTTTTCAGTAAAATAATTCGCCATTTTAAATGCATATATACATATTTATGTGCTTATTTACAAATTTATATAAGTGAAATATTAGCCTGTATATTGGGTATAAAAACTTCAGCTGCACCTTAGAAATTCTTAATTTTTTGCTACTTTTTTATCTGATTCATTTTGCGTTTGTAGTGTGCCGATATCGTCATTTGTTACATATTGATGACTATCTCTTCCATTAATTTGGCATTTTTCTTACTGTTTTTGTTCTACAATTTAATTTTACAGCTAATGCGGCTATTTTTATGCATTACGTTGTTGCTGCTTGGCTTTTGATTGCGTTAGCAATTTCGTAGTATTTAGCATTTCAATAATCATTCGTATGTGTGTGTATGCGCATTTGTGTGCGTTTGTCTTTAATAGATAGTCGGCGGCTATGACAACTGCTGCAGTCGTTGACCGCTGTCGCTAAGTAATTACGATTTGCGAGTGACGGCATTCGAGTGCTTGTCATTTAGCTTTGGCTTTGGCTTTGGTTGTTGGTTGTTGGTTTTACTTTCTTTGCTATAAAGTCACTAGGCTTTTGTGTACACAGTTATCCAGCAATTTTGTCTTTGAAGTATTAAGTAGCTATCTTATTGCTGGCTGCTTTCTTTTACTCAGCGATTTTGCTGGTTTTGGCGCTCCATTGTTGCCTGAGTATCTAAGCTGTCATGAGATTTTGTTTGTCTTTCGCCTTTCGCCTTTCTACTTTCTTTGCTTCCCACTCAGTCACACCGAATTTACCTACTTTTTAGGCTTAGCTTGTTTTTTGCAAATGTCACCAGTTTGATTTTAGTGCATAACCGGCTTTTTATAGCCGAGTTTTTTGTTTTCGAGTTCACTTTACTTTTGTGTAAAACTAGAAAACCTCCTGAAGAGTTTGATTTATTTAAAAAAATTTCAAGTAATTTTTGAAAGAAATTTATGAAAGCGTAAACCTTCTTTCCTTTCAAACATTTACTTGCTAAGATATCTGAGGATAATGAACCTTCTGTGAAAGTATATACAAACAAAAATATGCTCTCAAAATAATAGCTTCTGATTTCTTTGAATTCATTAAAAATTTATGACTTCAGCGAATTTGCATATCAACTTTTTGCCGAAGCTTTTTATTTATTTGTTATTTCTATTTATGTACAAACATTTAATTTCGCTTTGAGAATTAATTTCGTATTATTAAAATTTCAGCACCGTTATTTCGCACAAAGGTGCTATTAATTTTGAAAAGTTAATTTAACAGCTCATTTAACATCCCTAAAAGCTTCGAAGCTGGTTACTTCAATAAAGTGATGGCATTTGGTTATAATCTTTTAGCTATTTTTCCATTGCGTCAGTTCTTAGCGACTTTCTTTAGTTTAATTCTTTTTCCCATTCAATTGGCGGTTGAGTAGTCATGCGGATTTGGTTACTCCTTTTCATTTAGATTTGCTTGTTGCTTTTTGGATTCGAAAATCTTGGCAGGCGCAAGAGGCTGCATTTGGTTGCATTAAATTCATAAAACTAGAATTGCGAGCGGCCAAGCGAAAAATAATTATACATACTTTGAAAATATATTGAAAGCAACAAATAGTAGAAAAAGATAGAAATAATGTATAAATATTTTTTTTTTAAATTTTCAGCTATAAAATGTTCATTTGTGATGTTACTGAATAAGAAATATTATGAAAACAGGTTTGTCGCTTAAGTCTTCCGTTACTAATTGTTGTGGTATTAGACTATTTTTGAACTAGGCTAAGTAATTCATATTTATTTAGTCCAAAATGCTTTTATTGAAAAGAGAATGCGTTATAATCCATTGATGGGCAGAAGGAAATATGAAGTAGTAAAGTACGTTAAACTTTAGAAAAAAGTACAAGTTTCAAGCAGCTATAGTATACATACATAGAGAATAAAAACCTTAACAGTTTTTGTATTTAACTCCATACACAAGCGAAGCCTAGACTTTGTATTAGCCTAAATCTTCTAAAAGCTGCTTAAAATGCACTAACAATATTCTGTTTAATTTACATATATATATATATTCAGTGATGACCACTACGTCAATAACTAAAAAAAAACAAATGCTTAAGTCAGCTTCAAACTCCATCAAAAATTCTAAGCATCTAACGAGTTCGCTACTTAAGTCTTTTGTTTTCAATACAGCAGCGCTCTTGCAATGAACAATACATAATTACACGATTAAATGTAATTGCAGAAAAAAGAACAAGAAAGCAAATAACAGCACAAAATAATTGATGCTTTGAAACTAAACTGATTTCTGATTGTAAAATCAAAGCAAAATGCTACTTTAAGAAAACTTTAATTTCTGTTGCTTTGTGACTTCCAAGAATAGTCATTTAATTAAACAATTTATACACAAGTCGATACCATACAGTGGCTTTATAGCTCGCGGCAAAGTACCCATAAAATAGTATTATTTATTGACATCTTTGTTGCTTAACCCTTAGTTGTTAAATAGCGGTTGACCGCAGTAGTAGTAGTAGTAGGACCCTCTAACCATTTGATAGAATATAAAAAAAAAAAACAATTAGAGCAAAACTAAATAGGCTAAGTAAGCAAGTAAGCACTTTTTCTGGAGTACTCCTGCTGACCGCCGCAAGCTCTGTTCTCTTATTGGTATTTCTTCATTTCTCGTGATTTTTTTTTTGATTGTATTGCAATCTATTGCTTGATGGGACCCGGGTTCGATTAGGGTTGTGACTGTCGTTCCGTTGCCAAGAGATGCCAGAAATTCCAACTGGCTGCTACCAAAGATGAGGACAATTTTCTCATTGTGATAGCTTTGGCTTAGGTTTACATACATATATCCGCACGCAGACTACTGCCCTAATTTTACGCTTGGTATACGCCAGTGGTACTGAAGGGCACACTGAGCCAAAAGTAACATGATTTTTCAACCAAATTATTGTTTGATTTTTTCATGGTAAATATACCGCTTAAAAGAAATAAGATTGAAGTTGAACATCTGAAAATACATTTGCATGTCTGACTTTAGCTAAGCGTGCAAAAGGTGCTTGCTGTTATATGAAACCATCATAAACCAAATTTCGATTTTTTGGCCGATAACATGATTATCATAGACATAGTCATATAAAAAAACCTCATATAACTAAACAGGTTGCACAATTATGATGTATATCATCTTAGGATTCAGTTGATGTATCCTCAAGATTCACTTGCTGTGGGTATGGGTATGGTTGCATCTGCCAAACTTTTCCATTGGAGTTTATGTACCGGATCAGTCATAGACAATTCACTTAGCCGGTAACACTAACAGCAGCACTCTAATTAGGGTTATATTTTCTAAATATGGCTCGCGGCGACCTGGTGAAAGAAATTATTGTTGGTTAAGCCCCAATGTAGCATGTTTTTTTTTTTACAAGACTTCGACCTATTTGAGTAGTTTTTCAGTTTTTCGCCTACCCCGCTGAGCACACTTCCAAAGGAGTGGTGCATGGATAGGTATTAATTTAAAAGCTTTTGTTAATAAATTTGACACAACGATCGTCAAAGGTTATTTTTCAGAAAACCGTGCCTATAAAGACGTTTATTTCCAAATATGTCTTAATTGCCGGTTGGCTTTCGATTAAAAGAAGAATGAGCGGGTTCCGAAATAAACTCTAACAGCTGTCACCACACAGTGAGTGGCGATGCTCTGCACTTATAAATGTATTTTTTGATATTGGCGATAGAATTAAATTAAAAAGGCTGTTCATTTAATAGCCTAAATTTCATAAAACACTCCAACGCTTTTCTTAGAAGTTTTTGTCATACGGGATTGTAAATATTTTGGAATATTTTTTCTTGGGTGTCTCTAGAAACTATTTATGATTAATTCACTTATTTACTACCTAAATTTGAAAACCTCAGATTTAAATACATATATTTAAAGTCTAAACAAATTATATATTTTAATCACAATTATATAATTTTTCTTATGTATACCCGTAGTTTTTTCAATAATTTTTTATGACAGCTATATGAAATAACAACATACTGATAATAGTTATTATCAACTAAATTCTACGCTTGTATACATACTGAAATATGGGAATGTGCATTTAAATAATTATTTTTGAAACTTCCGCAATATACTTACTGTACTCGAAAGTAGCACTATCCACGTGACTAGTGGCAAAAATATTCTCATTTTTGCTGCAAAGAAAAAAAGCGAAAGAAGGTAGAGAAAATTAGCTAATTACATGTATAATCTTTATAAATATATGTAAATACATAAGTACTTAAGTAAGAAATAAAAAATACATTATTTTGCATTTCGGATAAAGTTGGGAGGGAGTGAGCGAGCAGACGAGTAGCAATAAATGAGCAAACATAAATAGCTTAGAGCACGAGAAGTGTTTACCAAATTGCCACTTGACTACAATTGTTTGAATGTTATACCATATAATTGTATGTAGTTGAAATGGAATTGTTGAGGATATAAAAAATTGTTGAAAAAAGCGAAATGCGAAAGGGAAACGTGAAAGGAAGATAATACCAAAAAAAAAGTTAGAATAAAAAATACATACATAGCAAACAAATTGAAAAAAATGTGCAAAAAATAATCACTACATTGGCACTTAAAGCAATGTATGTAAATAATGTGCACTTAAATTTACATACTTATAAGAACTTAAATGTAAAGAATTAAAATTGCAAACACGCTTCCGCATGTGAGTAAACATACACCCAGCAACACCAGCTGAGGGAGTAAATACATAAAAAAAAAAGAAATACTATAAAAAGGTTTAAGTGATAGAAGATATGCAAATAAGTTTTGTAAACAAGCCAACTACAGGCAAAATCAGTAATTGGAATTTTTTGAAAATAAATAAAAGTGAGTACACAAAAATGTACATAAACGGAATGCAATACATATATATATGAGTCAACATTAGGGTGCTTGACGCGGTTTCTCCAAACCGGTTTCACCCGTTTTTTGGATACCTAGAGGCGTTTTTTTTTTATCTTAATTTTTCGAATATCGAATAAACTGGATATTTTTTATCGCACCAACCGGTTTTACTCATTTCATACAAATCTTGACCACTCAATAAATGTTTTGAGTTTTTCGATGTTCTCAAAGCTTCTTCTAGTTAAAAGGAAACCTCCAAATGGGTAGATCTACACTTTTATTCTAGCTGCGAAAAAGTACACTCAGAGGTAGAGGTTTGTCTTTTTTTGATATTGCTGGGGCCAACCACGGACATCCCGAGTAGCAGCAGGCAAATCGAAGTACCCGGCTACGGCGGCAATATCATTTCGCAAATCCGAAATAAGTCACAAAAAATGCACTAAAGTATCGAAAAAAGTTAAAATAGGACCAAACGTCAATTATTCTAATTTAGATAAAACCGTTGTACTTATTTTTGTACTTTGCTCTTTTCTAAATAAATGTAATTTTATTGTTAATTTCGGTCATGACTTCGTACCATAATAACCATGTTCACTGCATTAAACCTATGTGAAGTAAAACCGGCTTTACCGTTTTTTTTTTTTGTAATTGCAAAATGGGCCACCGACCGTTTTTCAAATTGCAATTTTCCGCATAACTCGAAAATCGGGTTTGGGAAAAATGCGAATAGTAGATACTTTATTTAGGTACAAGGTTCGACCCTAGACTTAAGTTTTCGGAGCAAACACAGAATGCGTAAAATTTGAAAAAATAGTGACTTCTCTTAGAAGATGAATGGTCAATATATGTAGGTGGGCTAGGACACTGTGAAGTACATAATCTTAAAGCAGGGATAACGAGTCAAAAGTGTACTGATAGCTACGCTTACTACCAGTAGTAGCTTGGTTCAACAGATGATTCGGTAAAACTAACAATTATATTAGGCAGCTACTATTTGGTCAGATTTACTTAAACAAGTTTCCTTGGAACGCGAAGCGATGGGATTGCTTCATTTTATTTTATTTCCTTTTATTTAGATTTCCCTTCTTTTGATTAATTTAATCTAGCCATATTTTATTTTAATTTATTTTATTTTGTTTTATTTTTTTTTTTTACTTAACTAAATTTAATTTATTTCAGCCGAGTTTCCTTCGAATGCGACGCGATGGCATTGCAATATTTTATATTAACTTTTTCTATTTAATTTAATTTAATTTTATTGTTCGCTTTTACGTTGTTATTTTACTTTTTTATTTAATTTAATTTTAATTAACCTTATTTGGTTTTATTTTAATTTATTTTATTTTAAATTAATTTTATTTTGTTTTATTTAATTTAATTTAATTTAATTTATTTTAATTTAATTTCATTTCATTTAATTTAATTTAGTTTAATTTAATTTAGATTAATTTAATTTTTTATTTTATTTTACTTATTTCATTATTTTATTTTATTTTATTTTATTAATAATCTTTCATTTTAACATGGGCTTTGACATTACTTAACAGCTTTCGATGGTGTTTAGATTATATTCCGATGTAAGCCTTCATATTTGGGGTCCTACCATGGAATAAGGGTTAATACAAGAACAGAATAAAAAAATTTAATTTCAAAAACACTCCTTCAAACAAACAGGCGATAAAGATGCATGATAGAACTTAAGTTGCAGCCGACAAAGTGCAAAAAACTTAGCTAATAAAAATGAGAGAGAATACATGTGGACGTTGACATGTTTGTAATATTTATTTGTACAACAGGTAAATGACACCTAACCAAATTAAAGCCTAATGTGGATGTGTCAGAAGTGATGTATACCTAACAGCTATGTACATACATACGCAATCTTGTTCATACATAAATATACTCGTAAATGGGAGCCATCAATGAGCCAAACGGACAATTGCTCATCATTAACGCACCTTTGTCACCGATAGATTGTATGCGAGTGGCAGCGGTGGTAACGTGTGGGAAATATTTCATTTATGTACACAAATATATACATACTTACATACATATGTACATTCTTGTAAAAGAAATTGCGTATAACCACGAAACGTTAGCAGACCAAGTGAGCAACGCTACAGGAAACTATTGCTGTCGCTGTCGCTGTTGCTACTACCGACGACAATAATACCGTTGGTAGCTGATGTCTCCAAATGAAATGTGTGTTGCTCTGGCTAATGGCTTTGAGAGGTTTGAAGAAATGTTGAAGAGTTTCTTTCAATATTTTTACCTAAGATCTGCTTTCCTATCTTTGCTCTCCCCTTTACTATTGTCAACTTTTTGAATTTTTTTGCCTTTCGTGCGTAGGTATTTCGCTTATTTGTCAACGCACGCTAACTACTTAGAATGAGGAAATGTCCGCTGCTTATCACACATAACCAGAGGTTTTTATTTATTACCGCTTTTTGTTAATCATTTAGAGAGGAAACGTGGTTTTTCTCACATACAATTATTATTTAGTGATTTATGTGATGTTAGCGTGTGATTTCTAGCTATTTTATTGTCTGTTTTTGGTTTGCTGGATCTACTACCTTTTTTTTTGTCAAACTGAGAGTTTCCGACGACAGCTTGACGCGATTGCGTGTATCTGAGTTTGTATGAGTATTTTTATAGAAGCTTGTGATTATTTTCAAAGTTCTGTGGAGAATAAGTGTTGATGTTTAGTTGAAGTGTATTAAATGTTTTATTCAAAAAATCTCTGTGTAGATAATTTTAGAAGCATATTATGACAGCCGAAACACTCGACTTAAAGCTAGGAAAGAATCAGGGAAATAGGAGGAAAATTTCAAAATTTGCTTTGAGAAGTTATGCTTTTCTATGTGAAACTTTTTATCTATATTAGGGCGTACCATAACCACAAAAAAAAAAATAAGACTGTACTATTTTTTCAACGGCATAATAAAACATATTATATTTCTCACCCAAATTCATAAAAAATTAACAGGAACTTAACTGTTTTATAAACTGAAAACTTGTATGAAAATGTCACTTTATAAAGCTCCTTGAAACTATTTTTTTTTTTTTTACGAATAAGGTCATAAGTCGTTCGTCAATAAGTACTTCGGAAAAAATCAAGATGGACTCGAGCTGATCCCATTTGAAATTACCTCAAAAAATCGAATTAGATTTCAAAAATATTTTTTATAAAAAAATCAGGTTAAATGATAAACCATTAAAACCAAATATTGAGATTTTTGTAGGTATTTTTAAATAGGTCTAGCTCAGGTAATCTTTCGAAATATTTTGGCAAGAGTCTCATAGTAATTTAAATTTATTTTACAATTTCTTTAGGAAACTCACAACTTTTTTGGTGAAACACCTTAATGTATAAAAATAAAGACGTTTTCGGAGACAAATTACAAGTAGACGTTTATTTGAGTTTATCCAATTATTCACGTAAGGCTACACCTAAAACTTTTATATTTGCTTCAATGATCTTGATAAAATTGTAACAATGTGACATGCCATGGCGTCTGCTACATAATCAGATTGGAATGCTTTCAATCTCAATGCTCAGGTAGCTTTGGTTTTGCCATTTAAACAGATGAGTCAGTGGCTCGACTCAAAATATATGAAATCAATAAAAATAATGTTTGAACAAAAATAATTTTTTATTTTCACTTTTATTGCCACATAGTTTGTTCAAAAGAAAAATACTGATAAAAATAAAATCTTTCACAGAATTAAGGTTGAAATTTTGAAATTCGTGCCCGTATTTTGTTTGTAAGTCAAATATTAGTGGCATTGTGCTACTGTGATAGCATGACCGAGTAATCAGAGTCAACTACGGTACAGTAGTCGAAAAATTTATAGCCGCACCAAATTTTGACAAGTTTTAAAGTATTATTTTTGTTGTTATTTAATTTTGGTCAGTTTGTTATAGCTCATTCTTTAACAACATCTGTATAAATATAAGTTTAAAGGCAGTGTCATACGATTGGGTATTTGCCGAAACTTGGTGCAAATCGTCTACCAATTATGTGAATACTCAAATATTTATCTTTATCCCAATCACGAAAATTATTTTGTTGAAAATTTTCAATAGAAGATTGCTGTATTGTACCTAACTTTTGACTACAAAAAAAAATTGTCCCAATTTGTAGCAATAGCCCAATATAAAATGTAAAAAATCCTTACTAAGGTGCCAATCGAGTGACACTGCCTTAAAAATGTATGCAATTAAAAAAAAAATCAAAAAATTGTTCCAGTTCTGTAGTTAGATTCTGAGTATGCAGTTTTGTAGCACATTGAATTCTGG